TGAAAACTAATTATTTAAAAATATACAATGAATAAAAAATTCTAACGAGGAACGTTCATTGTAATGTATGTAGTATTGAATTTTTTTAATTTAAAATATTTTTTTTATATAAGATAATTAGATTTAAATACAGGTATGTACCTAATATTTACTATCCCACTAATATTATAAATGTGAAAGTTTGTGTATATAAATTTTTGGATATTTGTTACACAATCACGCTTGAATAGTTGGATTTTATACCAATTTACGTATAGAATGCCATAAAAATCTACAGTTTGTATTAAATAAACGAGTAGTGAAAAGCTATTCTCAATCTTTGTGGTTATTTGTTTAACCTAATAAAAAATTAAATATAAAAGTTACTTTTTTATCTATCAAGATTTCCAATTTCATAATCTAACATTAATTGACTGATAGATGTTGGTAGACTAGTAGAGTCTGGTGTTAAGTCCGCCATATGTACATACAATTTTATTGTACATTAAACTTTAAAAAAATAAATAAGTAATTAATGAAATATTTAACTGCGATAGATTAAATTATTGTATAGTTACATAATTTAATATTGTGTTTAATGAAAAACAAACGCCTTTAATTGTGATAAAACCAATTATTTTGATTTAAAAGCTAAATCAATGAATGGATTTTGATAAAATGTCTATGAGAACCATTTGTAATTACATCTTTTCAGATACAAAAAGAATTTTCCAGAGTAATTTACGAGTATAACTGACGGAGTTATAAGGTAACAAATATAAAAGAAATATAACCAAATGGAGAACTTGCTTCTTTTTGAAATCGGCTGAAAATAATTAATGAATTAGTAATATCTCTGTATCCTCATGTGGATCGTGACTGTGAATCTATATGATCTGCGTCTGACTTAATTCAATATTATAGTATTAATAATTATTTTATTTTTAAAATTAGATTTATTTAACTTTTTTTTTAAGTTTATCGTTTTTTTTTATTTACAATTTGTATCTAGTAATGTAATGTCCACGCTATGACAGTGTTACACGGAGTTCTAACCGCGGCATTGTTTTATAGCGCGTACGCGCGCGGCCCTCGCATTTGTCTGGTCGCACTCGTTACATTAGTTTTCCGATTTGATTACACGCATAAAATACATTCATTATCTAATTCTTTTTATATGGCTTGGAATGGCAAACATGCTTTTTTATACAACTTTGAATGGCAAACAAGCTAATAGCCCGCCTGATGGAAAGTGGTAACCGTCGCCTATAGACATGAGCAATACCATGGGCATAACAGAGTATACTGTTTCGCCCACGATACTCCCCATGCGTTACCATTCCTGATGACTCAGGTGTTATTTCTCTGTACTCTGTAAATTCACTGCCGAGGATATGGTAGTGAATTTGCAGGGTACAGAAATAACCTTTCAAACTGAAACATAGTCATACAAACACAACTGCTTCACGGTAGAAACACGAATGGGACAGAGGTGCCCAAGCAAACGACGTTTGAAAGTCTCCCTCCGGTAAAAGTGAACGCTGATGGAAAGTGATAACGCATATGACTTCAATGGCTCTACGTATCACAAAATAGACCAATCTATCAATATTTCAGCTGTATCACAGAATATCAGTATCACAAAATGTATGTGCATTAGGAGTGGGTAATACATATATAGCAATATCTATATATTTTAGTTACAACATCCATATACAAGTTTAATTACGAATACTTTAAAAGTCTGTTATTTAAAAAATAATATGGGAATATAATATATAAATATGGAATATAATATATATCCGACCGATATGGGTGAAATCAAAATGGATGATGACCTTTCTTCCGCCATAAAAGTTCAAAGGAACCCAATATATAGATATCGGATCGATATCCATATTATCCATGTCTAAGTGCATTATGCACATACGTAGACCTATATTTTTGTCTGTATTTTTAATAGATGATAAATGATCGGTAATCTCGCCCGCCCTGTGGGTATTTGCCGGCGAAGCACTATTGAGGGATGATAGATGAAGATGAAAGCAGGTCAGTTGTACTAACTTGACGAATTTGCTTAAGAACCACGATGTTATCTAGGGGAGACCGTGTGGAGGTCGATTTGACAGGGTTATCCATGGAGCTGCTAGTTCCCGTTACTAAAAATTTACCCAATCTATATAGTACTTAGAAGGCTTTTGATTGATTCTGGGATTACAGTCGTGACTATTTGTATTTATTTATTTATTTATTTAAATTTTTAATTAAATATATTGCAGGAAAAAATTTATATCACTAGTTATTTGAATAGAATTATTATTTATTCAATCAAACTGCGAAATTCGCAGTTTGGGTGCCGAACGGTTAACACTAGGCTGGTTTAAAGGTGAAACACGTCACAAAATGTGCGTGAATAAAATGGTGGTCGGAGATTGATGGCTAATATGGATGGTTGTGGTACTTCTAGTAGTAATAGTGGTGGTCAATCTTCGAGTGTAGATAGTCACACACATACTGATGCTAGTGGAATAAAACAATTTTTTTTTTTACAACACAGGGGGCAAACGAGCATGCGGCTCACCTGATGGTAAGTGGCTACCGCCGCCCATGGTCACTCACAACACCCATGGCATTGCAGGTGTGCTGCCGGCCTTTTAAAAAGGAAATAATTCTATTTAAATAACTAGTGATATGGACTTCCGCAGGATAATACCTAGTTCAGTAAAATAAGGACTTTATATCATTAGCACACTTTTAACAAAGTATTCTATCATCGAAACAACATTTTCTCCAAAAAAAAAACATGAGATAAAAAGCGAAAAAGTAATTTAATTCGCCCATACTAATTTGATAGAAGGACTTGCCGCGTTAGTATGGGTTATATTCAAAACATTTTTTGTTGCTATTTAATCCGAAACTCTATGGAATAAATATAAAGTTTCACTAGTAGAATAGATCACTGTTTAATGGGACGCTAATGATTTTGATTTTACTCTGTATTTCTGTATCTGTATTTTGTGCGAATTACTTGTAGAGATTTTCGATTCATATATTTCGTTAATTTTTTTTTTGTATTTTTTACGACTTATTAAGACAAACATATAGCTTTAAAACTTCCCAAAGAGAGTTGACGTCAGGCAGGTGGCCGGTCGTAAAACTAAAAACCAAATCTTTTTGTAATATGGATAAAATCATATTACGCCGACCACAAATAATTGGGATAAGGGTAGGAAGATAATGATGGTGATGATGATATAGCTTTAAAACTATCTATGACAACTACACAATGGAGTTTATTTGTTAAGAGATGGAGTTAGTTTAATCATATTACTGTGCCAATTATGATTTTATTTGGATTTTTATTATTATTTTTGCAGTCCATACTATACATAGGATTTACTGCCTTGTTAATCTCATGTTAATTTTGTGACGATTGAAACAGCATTTTTTGTATAGAGCAAATAACTGCTTACTACGAAGTAAAATTTATATGTAAACACGCGATTACGCCCTCTAAATTCTTCAAAAGTAAATGAATATGTACATAGCGTATAATATACATAGCGTATATATATATATATATATATATATATATATATATATATACATATACATGTGTACATAAAAAGGTATCCATGAAACGCCTCTTTTAAGTCATTTATTATTTTTAGTCAGTCTGTGTTTATGATGAACGTCGCATTTTTGTAAAGCCAACTGTACTTTTATTGTGATTGTTCATACAATTTCATCATTGAAGTGCATTCATCAACAACATTCATTAATGGTGCAATGCTAGACGTGTGTCTCTGCCTGGACCTACCCCACGAGTGGTGCCCAATCGATGGGTTACATTCACGCAGTACCGCGCATGCGATTTACACACTCTAGTCAAACAGTACAGGTTGGTGGAAAAGTGTTTTCTAAAAATTTTTCGTTCTAAAATATTACTTTGTCATTAGTTGGTAGTAGTACGATATTACTGTAAAATGTCTTTGGACAATACAAATACATGGATAAACTCTTTATTTCCATCAATAGTTACACAAAAATTGTAAAAATAGTAACAAAAGAAAAATATATTTGTTCATATAATACATAAATGTTTATGTCCTTCTAATATTAGATTTTTTAATTTTTCATTTATGTGTTAATAAAATATTACTAAAATTAGTATTGCATTTAAAAAAGTCGCGTAGAGACTATACGTAAATCATAAACATTTTTAAGAAAACAAACAAGATCTAATTAAACTAAAATCAGTTTAAAATTAATAAAGTTATCGCTTACCAAAAATACATTTTATTTTATACCACTGAGGTGGTTAATAAGCATACGGCCCACCTAATGGTAAGTGGTTACCGTAGTCTATGAACACCTGCAATACATTTAAATTTAGGTATTTTGCAGATAGTCTTGTATTTTATTACTATGGTGGCAAATAAGCATACAGTCCGTTTGATAACAAAGAGGGTTACTGTAGTGGAGCCGTATGGCTTAAGAGACTTTATTACGTTCTTTTCGAAGAACCCCACGGTGTATTCTTTAGAGAAAACTCTTGTTATTTTAAGAGACATTTATACATCTTCAACTAAGCAGTAACTAAGACCCCTATCAAATAGGATAAATAAACTGTGTTTTAAAAAAATATTTGTGTATCTATGAAATTTAATGGTCGAAGGATGGGCAGCAGTATCCTTCTTAAAACATCACCAAAGTCTAACTGCGGTTGCCAACCTGTCTGCCAACTACTAGCAAAACTCTCCAAGGGGGAACTTTATCTTCAGTAGTGGGCAGTTAACGATTGATCTGATGACGATGATCATGATTTGTGTATGTATATATTTAAATAAAAAAGGATACAAAAGAGTGTTAACAAATCGATACCAGATACAGTCATGACCTAAAATATAACATTAAGATATCTTCGTTCGAAGCATGCGTAAGTAACCTATTTTATATTTGGCAAAAGAATATGTTTTACATAACAAATTTGTTCACGACATTACTGCGACCGGCGTCAGACGAGCTTTGCGGCAGTCGAGCTCGCTGAAACAACGGCGAAAGCCTGAAAACGCCTTACCGTGCTTATTTAACTTACAGACTTGTATATTTAAAATATATTTTTATTATACTTTTCTAAATTTGACGTAATACGTGAGGAAGGAACAAAAATGTAAGTTGAAATATTTTTTTCTTGTTGACTATACCATGATATATTTTGCGAAACACTATGTATTTATTTGATTTTTATTCTAATAGTTTTTATTTTATTTTTAATATATTATATTTATATTATTTTTGTTAGAAAAATAACTAGTATAATTAATAGCGACCTGCACATAATATTTGTATCTTATTGATTTTAATTTATATATCTACGAGTTGTTTTTATGTAAAATGTTTTTCATATTCAGTTTTAATCGGAATTAAGTTTTTATTATATTTGAGAGTATTTGAGAAATATATATAAGTATCTAAATCTATCGGATTTGATCACGTAAATTAGTACGTAATGTATTCTATGGTCTGATTTATGATATGACTTACTCGTGTACAAAATTTTATTCAAATTCGTTTAGTAGTTTTTGCGTGAGGATAACAAACATCCATCCATACAAGCATCTACGTAATTATCGTATTTATAATAGTAATAACAGAATAAAGTGAAAAAGGATGTAATAAAAAGATATTGGTCTTAGATTATATAGATAGAGCATCGAGCCTCAAAAACGGGTCAAGTTTTTATCAGCTAATTGTCAAATTTATTTTTATCAATTTATCATTATATATTTACGCATAAAATGCATCTTGACGTATTATTTAATAATTAAAATTAGTGTTTATCTAAAAATAGTATACATCAAAAATATGCAGAATAACTATTTATGAGTAACAGACGATGGTTATGTTTGTAAGTTAAGAATAAATACATGTTTTTCTTTTTCTTTTTGTTTATTATTAAAACATTTTTTTTTATTCTAACACATGTTATACTCGTTATAATAAAAAAAAATAGGTTTTCCTTAAAAAAAAGGATCGATAAACAACAGAATACAAATATTTAAAGATTACTTAAAAGAAATAAATTACTAAATAAAATTGACAGGACACATTCGTTAGTAACTATTAGTTGAAAAATTTTCATTTTCATTGATAAACAGTTTCTTTAAAACAATGTAATGAATGTAACCTGCATAAAGTATGAATTCTGCTTAGTTAGTAGGAACTACATGACGTTGTGTAATACAGTATGTTCAGTAAAACATCACACCGTATCCGTCAATATTAAATGATAAACTATGTATTTATATTGAACGTCGGGTCTATAAATTCACATAATTTATAGCAACTAGCTTTACGTATGAAACGACGTGTAAATATATTGGAGGGTTTATCGAAATAAACAGGAGCAATGACCGACTGAATTTGTCTGGACATATTGGATTGCCTGCGAATGTGTTTAAGGTACTATTTTCTCGAAGGGTGTAGTTGTTTCTCTTTAATGTGACATTTATTTGCCGTATGTTTTGTATTTTTAGAATTCATTCCCTATTATTTTATATTTCCTCAATGTGTTTGATTTTAGGAAACGAAGAAAAATAATTAAATGTGTTCTATAAAAAAAAAACAATCTCAATTGTGACATAATCAGTTATTTTAATTTAAAAGCTAAACTCCTGAATTGATTTTGATAAAATTTCTATGGGATCAACCTGTAAGTGAGTATATCTTTTAAAATAAAAAAAAAATATCGGTTTACAATTGAAGTTGATTCAGGAAAAGAAAGATACAAATCCTTCTGTGTTTGGAGTAAATTTATATTCGATCTTATTTTTGTTTTTGTATGTTGCGTTATATCTACCGAATTAGAGATCCGATTTAAAAATAGATAGATAAACACATTTTTGGAGCTATTTATGACACTCGTAAATCAACAAATGAGAGGGAACGTAATTACCTTTATGTATTGAAAGAAGAAACTCTTTGAATCCTTCTGGGAAGAGCTAAGCCAAGGTTTAATAATGGGTTTTAAAAAAAGTTCCTGTAAATAATTATTTTATGTATACATATGTGTACGTTCGTGCGTGTGTGCGTGCGCACGCGCGCGCGCGTGATGATGTGTGTGTGCGTGTATGTATGTGCGTGTGTATGTGCGTCTCTCTGTGTTTGTGCATATGAATTAAGATATTATTTACGTTAAATACAATAATCAATATTCTGGACATGGCATATCTTTGCACCTACCAGATTTTAAATTCGTTCAGCCGTTTATGCGTGCTTGAGTAACAAATATCCTAAATCTTTACAAACTTTTACGTTTACAATACGAGTATTATCCATAAGTATCTCGTTGCTTTGCCCGCGTGTACTAATATGATATAAGAGAGAGATTAAAATAATCCTATTAGTTTATCCAAGATATAGTAGGTATATGTGTATTTTATACAAATGCGTTCAGCCATATAAATAAGACTGTGTAACAAATTATTTTTATATTATATCATATTTTAAGGGTTTCATATCTGAAAAGAAAAAATAGAACTCTTATAGGATTACTTTATTGTTAGACCATCTGTTTGTTCAAGTCTGTAATCTATGGAAGTTGTGAAAAAATCAAACATTCATGTCAATGCAATCAAAAGATAGCATTACTTACAACATCCATTTAGATATTTGTAAAAGAATCAAAACATATGTCAATGAAAAGTAGGGCACTTTACCTAGAATTTGAAAATTTGGCAAAAAACAATATAATGTCTCACAGTAAGTAAAGTGAGAAATCCAAAATCATAAGTTTTAGTTACATCATAAATAATATTAGTTTGTCGCTAAAAATTTTTTTATTATGTCTGAATCCCTCGGTGAGCGAGCTCGCCTCGTATATGGCCGGTCTTTTATATTATAGAGCTTCGAAAAAGAATCTCGGAGAAGACGCTGAATTTGCGCCACTATAACATTTGCGTAACACTTCCACATAAATGACAAATACTAGTCGTGTTATTTATTATTATTTTTTTATTATTCCATTCCATAGATTAAAAATAGTGCGGTTCCTGTCGGAGTTTTAATACTGGCTGTTGACACTGAGGTTTTTTAGAACAATGTATTATTTCTATCTTTTTTCTATATCAGATTTTTATAAAACGTGTCTTGTATTTTTTCACTAAACTTATTATTTTATAATGGATAATGGATTAAAATACATATGTGTAATTAAAATACATATTGTCACTGGATCCAAAACAATTTTTTTTTCTGTTATTTTTTAACCGTATAATGAATATTCTTTAAAAAGTTTGATTCATATAGTCAATAATTTTCATTGAACTTATAGTAAATATTGATTTTTCAATTTTCACTGAGCTATCATTTAATTCTAGGTTGGATGACAGTGCCACCAATCCGTATAGGCTGGCATGTTGCCAACTGACGTCACTATTCGCCAACTGCGCCACAGTATATATATATACGATCGTTATCTGTAATACATTTATTAAGCAAATTGATTTTTAATGTCTCTAGCCGGATCAATAGAGTTGTGTAAAAATAATATGTGATTAAAATTTCTGCTAGGCATTTTATTATTGTTCCCATATTACTGTATGGTCTATTTAAAAGGGGTCAACTTTTTCATAAAATTTTTCGTGATAAATAGTTATGAATGATTCCTTTATAACTTCTATATTTATTTTGTCTTATAAATTTTGCATCTTTTTAATGTCTAAATACTCATTTTATTTATTAAATAATACGTAAAGATACATTTTATGCGTAAGTGTATAGAACACTGATAAAAAAACGAGTTAGCTAATTTGACAATTAGAAAATGGAATGGCAACCCCGCCCGCATTAACAATATATACTGGCAGGGCACCTGTTAGCGATGATAGATGAGGATGAAAGCAGGCCAGTTAGCCCATCGTGATTAATATACTTGGATTTCATTACGATGATTTTCAGAGGGGACCACGTGGAGGTCGATCTGACAGGGTGTATTACTAGCAATGGGACTGGTAGCCGCATTACTAACAATTCCTTTCCCCCTGTCGATATATGATTTGAACGAGGACATTGTGAAGAATTTGCGAAGTGAAGCTTGTGGATTTGCAATACGTAATTAGTAATTAGAATGGCAACGCATGGGGATATCATGGGCGAAACAGTATACTCTGTTATGTCCATGGTACTGCTCATGTCTATAGGCGACGATTACTACTTTCCATCAGGTGGGCCGTCAGCTAGTTCGCCATTTTAAGTTGTATAAAAAAAAAGTAGACTCTCAGAGGTACTGTAATTTTTTCTATTCTTTGGCAACAAGTATGTGTAACTATATTTAAACCTAGATGTTATAAATTACATATTAATTTTACGACGATTGAAGCTGATTTTTTTTGTATTATTACGAAGCAAAAAGTAATTGTAACGCAGCAAAATGTAGTTGTTACATATTTTATTTAGAATTCAAATTCTAAAATTCGAAATAATTTGTATGTGAATTATCTTATCTTTCGGTGTGTTGTTATGACAGAAGTTTTTTTTTTTGAAGAGCAACATATAGTTGATACTTAATTTGGACATAAATTTCTGTTCCAGGGAAGCACCTGAAGGAGGAGCACCAGGGGGTTTGGCGCCACAGGAGCCAGAAGTGGGGCCTGATGGGGAAATTATCGGGGGGCCACGTACTCCGCAACAAATCGCCGCACAGAAGCGTTTACAGCAGACTAGAGCACAAGTAGACGAGGTATAATATTTTTTATTAAATACTATTCTTTGCTTGCGACTTCGTCCGTTTGATTGGAATATCATTACCTATATTACAAATGTGAAAATGAGTATTTTTTTGTTAACTTCTAACTTACGGCTCATGAAAAAAAATCTTACGGCTCAACCAATGGTCATATTTGGTATATACGTATTATATAATACATAGAATGGACATAGGTTACTATCTATCCTGGTACATTTCCTACATATCTCGATTATACGGGCACAGTCATGGATAGAAGCTAGTTTGTAAATATATATAATGCCATACGATCACATCAATTACTTGGACCTTAAGTTAACCAACCAATCTATGAGAAATCAGACAATGAGCATCTGAGGGCACAACCCTGAACACTCAGCTCCAATCCAATTCAGTAAAGTTAATTTTCTTTTAATTACGTAATTATATTGATTAACCACGTTAAGAAGTAACTTATATCTATCTTCATCCTAAACACTGACTGTACTTATGCTGTAATTTCATGACGATTGGTTAAGCCGTTAAAGCGCCAAAAGATAACAATCATATCAACAAACAAATTCACTTTCTCATTTATTCATATTACACTTCATACTACACTCCACACCATAATACACTCACATATAAAGGGAGATTCTGATTCCAATTTTGTTTGGTATTAGAATCAATGGACGCAATTAATTCTATATACGCAATAAATTTAAACTATAATAAATTAGCTAAATTAAATTGTGTAATATTTAACATTACACAATTTAATAAAAAAATAAGATTGTATGGGCGAAAAACTAAAAGTCCAAGGGTCTGCAGAGAAGGCGGTTAACAATGACTTTCCTAGACCGGTATACCGTTCGCAATAAATTCATCGTACCTCTTTGATGTCCTGGTTCACCTGCCTCCTGGGTTTGCTGTCTTTCTCCACGGCGCAGCTAAGGATCCTCACGGGCTCCAGAGCACGCACAAATGTTGTATTTGAATAGGGTGGTGTAATGTCGGGTACTTCACATGTCCATGAAACATATATCAGTTTTTCCATTAATAGAATTTTAGTCTTATTATGAAATATAACAAGTTGCACACAAAACCACGTCGTAACAAACTATGAATTTCACTTATATGTCCTTTATTATAAAATAAATACACAAAACAGAGCTTATGCAGCTAACAACCCATCATCCCTTTTCGCGCCAACGCCATATTACTTTTTTTTTTATCAATCTGAACATAGTTGCGCTCAGATGCGAAGCGACAGCACTCTCTTGTGTGGTAAAACGACCTTCATACCGTGCGATGCAACCGGTATCGGATTATCATCATTAAACTAGCCCAAACAAAGATATTAAAAAAAAAGATAATAATAATATATTTTGTATTGTTATAATTTGTCTCAGCTTTCGTTTTAAATTCGAGGTTGTCCGATTAGTTTCGAACTCAATAGGAGCCCTTATTCCTGAGCGCAGTACATAGCTGTGTCGCGAGTAGTACAGCGCGAGTAGCACCCTATTTGTCGCTGCGCGCGTGCGTATTTTTGTTTATTTAATTTGAATTATATTTTATTTCAAAATTTCTAATACAACTATTTACTATTTTCAGGTGGTGGACATAATGAAGACAAACGTAGAAAAGGTCCTTGACAGAGATGCCAAGTTGTCAGAACTTGACGACAGAGCAGGTAATTAATATAATTTGAAGGGGAGTTCCCCAGGGAAGGGGATCGTAAGTCACAAATAAGTCGTACAATCTGCCACAACCATCTGGATGAGTGGCAGTACTCCACCGTACGTTTTTTAAGACACTTTATTCCACACACAACCACGCTTTGAAATCAATTTCCAGCAGTAGTATTTTCGAACCGATGCGATATCGTAACTTTCAAGAAATGAGCATATTCTTTTTCAAAAGGCCGGCAGCACACCTGGAATTTCTTTGGTGTTGCGGGTGCTCATGGGTGGTGATAGTCGCTTACCATCAGAAGAGCCGAAAGCTCGTTTGCTTCTTGTGTTATAAAAAAATTACGTATAAAAATTGTCATTTAAAAGAAAAAGGGTCTCACTTCAGTTGCATTTTTTATGTTTGTTACCTGTTTTTATGTTTGTTGTTGTAACTCTGTCAATTCTAAACTGATTTGGAAAATTATTTTTTATCTGAAAGGTTAAAATTACAATTTTTTATCATAGAAATTTTACGAGTATCAAAATCGGTGCAATGGTTTAGTTTTGAAATAAAAATATTTGGTTTTGTCACAGTTTAAATCAGTTTTTTTTTCGTGAGATACTATCTTTAATTATTGATATGATAAACTTTTAAAATGTGTTCACAGAGGCTTTGCAACAAGGGGCATCACAATTTGAACAACAAGCAAAGAGTCTGAAGAATAAATTTTGGTTACAAAATCTTAAGGTATTTAAAGATAACATCTATCTATCCGCTAAGTATATGTATAAGTATTCGTATTTATCAGTTACTAATTTACATGTCGTATGTCTTTGTACATATTTACTGGCCGACAGCACTGTCTCTGGTGATTATGGGCGGTGGTAGTCATTTACCATCAGGCGAGCCGTAAGCTCGTTTGCCCATGTTATAAAGAAAATATTAAATTTCATTTTCATTTGACTACTATCTAAGAATGTCAAAATATAGAATTCACTATGATTTTATGATATCTTGGTAGGATGATTTTGAAAATTCAATGATTTGGACTGCCCAATCTTTAAAGTATCAAATTCATCTTTGGATATTTTAGAAATAATTGTCATTTGATTCGTATTTCGAGGACACATCGTCTCATAATTTGTGTAGAGGAATTCGTGTATAACGAAAGCAACTTAAACAATCTTGTCACCAGAGGGCGGCACTTAAGTATTAGTAGTATTCGTCATTGATTACAAAATAGTATAATTTCTGTATTATATTGTCAAGTACTTAGACATTAACTTATCAGTTAATTTAAGTTGTATAAAAAATGAATAAAAATATTGTATATAAATTTTTAATAAACATTGCATCATTATCATCATATCAGCTGTTCTCTCTCCCCATAGATTGCATTGCATAAATTCTTTTTTTGTTTAATTATAATTTATATTTAATTATATATTTACCAGAGGGAGACTTTGTACAAAAGTCGATTGCTTGGGTACCTCTGTCCCATTCGTGTTTCTACCGTGAAGCAATTGTGTTTGCATGGCTGTGTTTCGGTTTGAAGGGTGGAATATGGCGTGAATTTACTGGGTACAGAGGAATAACACCTGAGTCCTCAGGAATGGCAATGCATGGGGGGTATCATGGGCAAAACAGTATACTCTGTTATGTCCATGGTACTGCTCATGTCTATAGGCGACGATTACCACTTTCCATCAAGTGGTCAGTTTGTTAACCATTCTAAGTTGTATAAAAAAAATTATATAAATAATGAATAGTGTGCGATTCGAGGAAATTAAATACACTTTATTTTTTTTATTCTTTCAGATGATGATAATAATGGGTGTCATTGGAATCGTAATAATAGGTCTTCTGTTTGGTGAGTAATTATTTTTTTATATTCCTACTGTTGTCGACCAATCGATGTTGTCAAGTGACTGATGTATAGATTGATCCGTTAGATGTTACAAATGTCTATCTAAGGGCTATATTACACTGTCAAATATCTGCGGCGATAGTTGAAACAATTATTTAGTATAATAAAAATATTTAGTGATTGATGTAGCTGTATAATTTTATATTTCTAAATAACTTTGTGTGGTGTAAATTTACTTAATAATAAATCTTTTTTTATTTATACATTAATGACAAAGTTACATTACATAAAAAAAACAAAGTTTATACATTAATTTTCATCATATTTATTTAGGTAAGTGGGAATATCTATCGGTAAATATAATTGTATTACCATGCACATGCAAAAGAACAAAATGCATGAAGTTGCTATCTGGTTCTATCTCATAATGAGATAAGATGATCCGCCGTTTTAAAACAAACATATTAGATGGATTCGTTTATCGCTTATTTAAGGGAACTGTATATCTATTTATGATTATAAAATATAAATGCATATGATCATATATTTAACAGTGTAATATTTATATTAGAGAAAGTTGAAACTTAACGCAATAATAATAACAAATTAATTAACAATAACTATGAATATATATATATATCACGTGAATTTACTGCGTATAATGTCCTCTTGGTCGAAAAGGAGTGAAACATTTAAAATTATAAAAAAAAAAAACTGTTAGCGCGTAAAGTTTCGACTAAAAGCTGATTGTCTTATACTTAATTCCAAGACAATTTCAATTAAATATGAAAAATTTAATTTTAGAATCCTACACTTGTTATACATAGTATATGTGTAACACAAGAAATTGTATTGGGTAGACAAACAGCTTTTTTTTTCTCAAAACTGAAAATGTCGTAAATGCATCAAATATTTGGTGTCTGTATATGAAAGTATTGTATTATATAATACAGTACTCGATTCTATAAAACAATAATACAATAAAGCATTTTGTATTAGAAATATAAGGTATAAAAATGTTTTTACATTTAGCAAAATGGCTGAATAATCGCTCTTCTAAACCCTGACACTGTCTTCTTTGCTTTCGTTTTCTAGAATGATCGGTGTATAGTGTAATAAGGCTGGTCAGTATTTATTACTGTTCAAGAGAACTATGGTTTGGTTTAAATTGAGCACGGAAATCTGTTTTAAAATTATTTAACTTTGTCTGTAGGTATGTTTCTCTCTACCCAATAGAAAATTAAATTAATTTTATTATTACTTTTAATAATAAATAAATTATTTAATAAATTAATTACATAATTGTATCTAATATGTTTAAAATATTTTTTACTCACAAGTCTGTTTAAAAACTAAATTATAATTTTATAATTTACTACTTGAAATCTAAATTATTAAAGATTCTTTCCAATTTTTGCAGTCTAAGTTTTGGATGCTAAAACCATGATAACATCTTTATTTGTTATTTGTGATTTTTTGTTTTATTTTACATCTTTGCTAAAATATAACTATATTTCTTTTTTCTTACATGTTACTAATTAATTTTATTATATATTGATATATATATTATTACAGTAAACATTTGTACAAATCGTTACAATAAACACTTGTCCGATTTCGCCTTTTAAGGCATTCCCAAATGTGTTATTATATTCAAACAAAGTCTCTACCAATTCTGCAATACGAAATTCCTTGCTCAATTTGGCGATGTAGGGTAGAGTAGCCGCTTGGAGGCATATGTTCTGCTTACGGCTGTTTGCAGGTGATAACATTAAACAAATGTTTGGTTAGTTCGGTACCGCGGCACACCGACTATGAGTGATGGAACACCTCCTGCGCCGACCAATGCCACTCTTACAGCTATTACTAAAAATTGTGAGTAACGGACCTTACTCTCGAAACCCTTTTGCTTGTGCATGTTTGCTTTAGTTATAGTATTGTGAGATTGAGTGCACGATACAGGGGGTTATACACTATCATATATATAGATGATACCTAAATAAAAATTGCATATTTATTTTACGACGTTTGATATTGGATATTGGAGTTGACCACATTTCATTAAACATTTGAATCCAGTATGCATAGATAATGAACCTTTTTTTGTGAAATTAAGTGTATTAAAACCCTTTTGCAGGAAAATAAAAACTAATATGGACATTTCGAGTATTACGTTCACTACAACGACTGCTCCATAAGGAATTATAGCTATAATTTTTTTCAAATAAAAGTTTGAATACGATATCACGCAGATAATACAAGATCATTCTTCGTTTATACCCTGTATTTTTGACTGTGTTATATCCCTATATATAAGTATGCAGTTATCAATGTGGTTAATGTTTATGTATGGTTTGCCTGATATAGTTTTTTCAACATATAATATTTATGTATATAAATATGTATATTAATCATTGATTATCCGCAGCTATGTATCAGGATGGAAACGCTTAAATTCACGTGGAATTTCGGGAAATTTTCTTAGCCATCATTTCTTGTATTAGTGTCATACATTTATAATAATATACTAGTAACAACAATCCGTGCCCTATGGACCTGGCATAGAATGAGTCATCCTTGTCTTTCCCGTGTGTGTTGTGAGATGGTGACTAAGGGAACTTAATGATCGAGGGACGGACAGCCTGTTATGTTTAAATAGAACGCTCCCTTTTAAAGTGATATTTGCCAATGCCTAACTGCAGTTGTTAATTGAACTGTCAAGTGTAGCAACTACCGCCAAAGCTCCCCAATAGGGGGAAGCCTATGTTCAGCAGTGGACAGTTAACGGCTGATTATTATAACAATTAGACAAGCAACATTTTAAGACCAAACACAAAATATCCAGACTGATGTCAATACAGAAAACTTGTTTTCTAAAGTTGTAAAAGAAATATATAGGAATTTCAAAATATTCATTTTTCATTAAATTAAATTTCCTATACAAATATTCAAATTTTTTTTTTACACAGCGTGAATCAGTAAAATTGTTTTACAATAAGCACGTGTTTAATAATGCCATCGCTTTGTTTAATAATAAAAATGTCGGTAATTTGTATTAGTATTTAAAATATAAAACATTTAGTTAACACTACATTTTAAATTTGAATTGAATAATTGCAGTAGATAGGCATTTTATAATATTTCAATTTATTCCACGCATTACATTACACAATTTTACACAAATTTTCACAATTTTAAATTAGCATGTGTTTAAAAATTGTTATTTTAAATTAATTTTATAATAGAACAAAGAAAGAATGAGGTATTTTAAAAAATGTTTCGTTATAAATTGATTTAAAATATGTTATAAATATAATTAGTAATATTAATTATAATGTTAATAATTAAATTTTTATTTACAGGAAAATACATGTAATAATTTATTCATCGCATCCGTTGGGTTCCACTTCAAATGAGAAGAATGTAAAATTATACTTACTTACTCTTTAACTTATGGTTTATAATATATTAAATATTATATATGTCGGCCTACTTTGAAATAAATAAATGGGGGTAAATAATAATTATATAAATAGCGATATACTGTAGAATTTAGAATAAATTATTTAACAGATCTGAATATAATAATCTTAACGGTTTTTAATGTAATTACTAATTAATTACTACTATAGTGAATGTAGTTAATTTTAACGAAAACATAAAATACCAAACGAAGATATGCATTTTGGTTTAATTTAAATTAATGATGTGTAAATTTTAAATAATGTAATATTTGTAAGTCATTCCCTGTATGTACGAGTATACAATGTTCTTATACCTAATGGCCTAATGGAAAGTATATAGATGGTAAGAGAAGAAATTTATTATTTTTTAATTAAAACTATAGAACTCACGACAAGCTCGGCTGTCTAAATTTCTTTGCGTGCCTTGAACTAGATTCTACTATTTAGAATCCTAAATTCTACTATTATAGTATTTTATTTATATGGCAAGACAATTCTATAGGTATTTTACAGTCTTGCCTGAAGTAATAATTTTATTACGTACGCTTAGTCGCAGTGTTATGAGATACTGATCTGTGAAGTATATTATGATATTGTAACTCAATTATGTCATTGAGATCTTCCAAATGTAGTGGAATCTATCTGATAATGTAGGATAGTAATGAAATAATAACACGAATCTTACACATACACTTGTTGTTTTTTGTAAAATAAGTAGAATTTTCTCATTGTTTTTAATATCTAAAACACCAATAATGTAACAGCAATAGTAGTTCAATGGAATTGAGCAAGTAATATATTAAAAGTTTAAAGTATATATTTACAATTTAATAATAATAAATAGGATCAGTTTAGTTATGAAAATATTCATTTTAAGCTAAAATTAACCGATTATGTATTTTAATTTATTAATAGACCGAATACTTTTTAGAACTTTATATTATATTAAGTATATGCATATTATTATATATTTTTAATTAAGGTATTTACTTCCATTTTTACCACCCTCTTGCTCACAAATTACTAATATTTTATTATGGTATTTGCACACTGTAGCGTCTTGAAGTCAATTATTTGCATTAGATAGTTAAATAATATTGAAATTGGCTCGGCCCACATGATCGGTAATTCATCGAAATATCAAATTAAATTCGTTCATAAATTAATACTTGTGTCAATCGATTACTTTTACTACTATAATAGATGTTTTTTTTATCAATACTGCGGTAATCGTTTATGTTTTCGATTATGTGATCGGGCTTCTCAAGTCAATTATGTAGCAAAACATGCAATAAACGATCTATATTGCCATACTAGTTTAGTGCTTATTATAAAGAATATCTTCTTTATTTACAATTTGCTAGTTTGTAATGTCAATGTAGATTACTGGTAATCACTAGTCGCCTGAAAAGAGCGTAATTGGTACTGTGTGTACTTACATTTTTTATGCGCTTATGTGCCACCATAATAATTTGCAAGAGGTACATTTAGTGCCAAATAATTAACCCCCTTACATATAAAACAGAGCTATTTGGTAGTTATTGTCTCAAACAATATTTCTTCTTATAAAAAAGTACGATAGCTGCTCATTAGGAAATTACCAATTTATAATTAAAGGTCATTTCTGTACAAAAAAAGGGTTATCTGCTTATTTATTAGTAACCAAAAATGTATTTATTGTTTACAAAATATGGGGTTAATGATAAATTTATATAAAATAAGCCCCCTTATTCATAAAAATCAGTAGTACTGGGTAATCAAGAATTAATTTAATGTTTAATAAATTTATTATTAAAATTAATATATTTAATTTAATTTTTTATATATAAGTAAGGGTTTTAATATAAATTATTTTTATATAAAAATTAACCTCATTATATATAATAACCCTCATACTAGGTAATAAATAGTCAATTGGATATTTAATGTTAATAAATGAATTCACATATTAACTAGTGATGGAATATTTTTTTTATATAAATATGAGAGAGTATAAGTAAGGGGGATAATTATTTACATTTTTCACTGAATACACGCTTTTAGTTTGATTTTATAAGTTATAGTAGTGATTTAATTATAATTCATATTAGATTATAAAAATTGTAAGTGACTACAGGAGATAAATATATGGTGCCATTGACAATATTAGTTCTTTTATAACTATGAAGGTATATGGTGTGATAAGAGAAATGTGAATTTAAATGTGTAATTATGGAAAAATTCGATTGTACGACGTTGTGCTTTCAGCTTTTGCCCTTTTAAATTATAAATATAAATCCTATTAAAATATTATATTACTATCTGATTTATATAATAATAAAATAATTTATATGTATAAAATTAATTATATGTATTTATTCCAATTATAATGTTTTATGTTTTAATGCACGATGTGATCCGATAATAATAATTTTATCAAGTGTTGCCCCAATTAAAATTAATACTTTGCTTTCATGTGATTTATTAAAAACAATATAATAAAAAGATATACATATTTCAATTCAACGAATAATATTTCTTAATATATTTCTATTATTATCATTGATTTTAATTAAACACATGAGCTTATACTTATTAATATTATACTATCAATTATATTTTACTTAGTTTATTTGCCGCATATTTTTTTTACATTTTTATTGAGCAAGATAATAATATTAATATAATTATTTCTTATTATAATTTAATTTAAAGACAGAATGTAAATGATGTTACTGATTATAAAATCGTGATTACACTTACAATGTACGTTTTTATTTTTAAAAATAATGTAATGAACATACACATGACTATAATCCGCCTACATATGAAATATAGTTCTCACCTTTGGGCTGGAGCACAGCAATACCAGCTTCTTCCATTGGACCGTCCATCCCGTCCATCTGGACAAGCAGCGGTCCTCAACCGTATAGTCTCTATAGATATTTTCTTCTACGTACAATCAAAGTATGGAAGCAATTTTCAATAGTTGTATTTCCGAATGGATGCAACATTGAAACCTTTAAGAATGGAGCATATTTCTTTCTAAATACCTGCAATTATTTTAATATTATATTATAGAAAGAATTTGGAATACTTAGAGGCATTGGTCAAATAGTTTTCTTTATGTAAGTTGGTTTGGCTTTACACTGTACACTGTGAGGGTCATAGTATTTTTATATATACTATTCTTGAGAACTAAGATATGATAGGAAGGCTTTATTAACCTACTCGGTAATTTCATTGGTACATATTATGCTTCTAATTAAAAAATAACAATATAGGTATATTAGTTATCAGCAGAGGAGCAACGGAGACCGAATTGGGATAGTAAACAACAAAACCACCATTCTCTGTTTGTTGTTGGAATGAACTAATTCCATTTTGTTAACCTGATGGATCCATTATCATCATATCAGTCGTTAACTGTCCACTGCTGAACATAGGCTTCCCTCTTGGGGGGTTTTGCCAGTAGTTGCCACGCTGTCAGGAGGGTTGGTAACCGCAGCCAGGCTTTGATGATGTTTTAATAGGGATGCTGCTCAGCATGCTATGACCATTTAGCTCTTTTAGTTATCTCTTACGACACTCTCGGGAAAGGAAGGGGTGGTCCATTCTATGCCGGGACTACACGGTAGTCAAGAGATATTTTTATGTTTATAGATCCCTACATATATATATTATTATTATTAATATCACAGTGAAATAAAAAGTATTTCTTTATAGTATGCTAATATTAAAGATGTGAAATTGTGACGTTTATTATTAGGATATGTATCTCAATTAATTATCACGGAAATTGGCATAAATGTAGTGTTTAGAATGAAGTAAGCTATTTTTTCATCTCAGTCAATCAATATAACTCAGTCAGAAGTTTACGCAGCTAGAAAATATAAAATATATCTATTGAATCACAGTAAGTATCGTCATTTCAATGGATATATCTATGCTTACAGGAAGATAAGTGAAACTTCTACATTAATATTTTAGCAATACTCCTTCCAATAACACTACAGCCACGAAGTTAACGTGTTAATAGCGAGAGACAATGAACAATCTTCGTAAATTGATAAATTTAGTCCTGTCACACCAAGAAAGTATCGACAGGGAAACCCTCAAACGAATTTAGATTTTACTGTATCAACGATAAAGATCAAATTTCAGGAAAAAAGTGTGTCTATGGTACGTGCCTCATAGACTAGACCATAGAGAATGATGTGAGAGCTCGCGAGCTTTCTCTTTGATAGTTGGCCGCCATTTTGAGTTACAGTAATGGCTGGTATGACATGAGTTATGCGTTCGTGTCATTTAAACTTAAGTAATGTTGGTGCTATTTGAACCATTAATGTAGGATAAAATTAAAAAGTAAACAATCGATTAAAATATAATTATGAATAACCGAATGAATGAAATTGAAACATTATAATAATAGTAGCGGCATCTCGTGGTTTTACCCGTGTGTTTAATTATGATGAAAATAATTTTGTGTGTTAATTTAATAACATTACGCTTCGTTTGTATACCAAATTACATTTAAATCAATCCAGCTGTTAATATAGAATAATAAATCTTTTGATAAGTATATCAAATTCATGTATTTGTAGAATTTTGATAACAACTGAAGAGATGAGATAAGAGGCCAATTGACATTTGTTTTCTTTGTCGACTCCATAAGGGAATTGGCACTAAGATAGAATGCTAGTACAGACGTGGTAAAATACTAACATTACTCTGTATTTTTCCATGCTTACCTATTTTTTTTTCATTGCTGTATTGTATTATGTTACCTTAGTCACTTCATCCGACATTCGAGAAACAAATGCTTTCTCAAGATGTTGAATAAAGTGAAGTAGTAACACACTGTATTAATAATTCGAAACTATAAAAACATCCAATTCCATAGATAGAGAATTAAACGAGAAGCGTTGTATTCTATATCTTTGCTTAAACCGAAATAAAAAATGCCAGGGAAAGATAATTTAACAGATAGTAAATCCTGTTTTCTCGAATATCGATGTCAATGTAGTTTTATGCGAAATTTTAGCTGCTTTATAAAGTAATGCAAAAATGGTACACGATATTTCGTTCCACAGACACTCAATTAGTTTCTCTGTGGGAACTGTCTAGGAAAACAAAGCGTGTTCAGTTACAACTGATGTTGTGTTGTACCGACTATTACTATTAATTCTCATTATATTTGAGCCATTGTTGTATTTCATTGCGATCAAATATTTGAATTAACTAAATATAATTAGATTTTAATATACATTTAGTTTATTTCTTGTTCTGTTTAACTAACTGTCAAAGATAGGAAGGTAATGTTGTTAAACTACATTACGAGTATGTATGTATGAATCTCTGATATGACTATAATTAAATTGTATTCTACAAAAAAAAAACTTCAACTGTTAAAATTTTAATTTAAAAAGTAAATTATTGAACAGTTTTTGATAAAATTTCTTTGGGACCAATCTGTACGCATATCCTTCCAGATAAATAAAAAATTCCAAATCGATTTACAACTGACAGACTTTTGAGGTAACAAATATAAAAAAATACAACCGAATTCAGAAATATCTTTTTTTTTTAAATCGTTTGAAAACAGTTAAATAGATTTTAATAAATTGTCTGTTGTTACATTTGTATTATTTTTGGTATTGACATTGGCTTTTGGAGATTATCTATCAACCTATACAGAAAATAAAACTACAAATAATTCGTATTTCGAGAATGAATCACGTAAATAACTACTGTATAATATGTGGCAATATTGTAGTTAATGTACAAGTATACATTTCTTTCGACTAAGGCACTATGTTTCATTCCTATGGCAAAATACAAAGTTTCGCCGCTTCCTCGTTAAAAAGCAATTTACGTCACGAAAACTGGGCCATCCATCTATCCATATCAGCCGTTCTGAACGAGGCCTCCCCGTATTGGGGTGTTTTGCCAGTAGCTGTTACGCTTGGTAGGCGGGTTGGCAACCGCACTTTTGATTTGGTAATGTTGTAATCGAGACGCTGCTGCCCTTGCCTTAACCTGGTACGGCTCATGTCTATAGGCGACGGCTACCACTTTTCATCAGGTGGACCGTCAGTTTGTTTGCCATTCTATTTTGCATAAAAAAAAAAACCAGTAAGTCCTCTTAGTTGCCTCTTACTATATTCACGGGAGAGGAAGGGATGGCCCATTCAATGCCGGGAATTTTAACGAAAACTACAGAATAAATATGGTGGCTACGAACAATACAAAATCAGGATTTTTTTTATCTAACTACGACCACTTATTAAGTTCACTAATTAAGTTACAGTAGGAGTAGCAAGAAATAAAAAATCTTACACCTGCCATATATTTCTTTTTTATAAAAAATTTGGTAAATGAGGTTGCAGTGAATCTATTTTGTATTTGTATTAAATTATTATTTTTTAAATATATAAGTATTAGCTCTTACCCGTGACTTCGTCTGCATGGCAGAGATATGTTTACTGATCAGGATAAAAAGTAACCATTTCCTTTTCTATCTCATATCGTACGTTTATACTAAATTTCACAGTGATTGTTTAACTGGTTAAGGCGCTATAAAGCAACAAACAAACAAAGCCACATTTACATTTATAACATTAGTAAAGATTAATAAGATAATATTGAATCTAAGTACAAATCGACTTAACAAGTTATCTATAATTAACATGTTAGAATTACAAAGCAATAAAGGATTCCAAAGAACCGAACATAAGTCTAAAACATAAAGGGCCAACAAATTAAAAATTTAAAGTTTACCCATAGTCTCATATATCATTAACCGTATATATAAATCCGCGATTAACCTCGATTCTACTTCCGACTAGGAAGCACAAGTTAGTAATCTTCCGGCTTTGATAACTAGTAGTAGGGGTCACAGGATCATAAAGCTCATAGATCTAAAAGAGTTCGCTGGAAGATATTGAATTTAGTGTGAACACTTCAAGCATTATTTAATTGCGTGTCAAGCGGTGAGCTGCAGCGCTGTCTGCGGGTGAGAGGTGATACTGTGTGCACAGTGCAGCGGTAACATGAATGTACGGTCAAAAAATACATCAATAATATGAATAAACTAATGTTTTTTGTTGACTCTTTGTATGATTTGTTGATCGACTTTATATGTAAAGATAATGTAGCAAGGAAATAAAATAATTTATAAAAAAATAATATATTAATTAATTTACTCTTTATTGCACTACTTGAAGAATAACATAAATATTTATATATATACATATATTATTCTTAAAGTACAAAGGTGGTCTTATAGTTAAAGCAGTCTCTTTCAGACTACTTTTGAGTAGAGAAAAATAGAAAAAAAAGGTATCTATTACATGACATAAGAAGTGCATGTAATAAAATAATACGCATGTTAATAAAACATGCAATAAAAATATACTTTACGTACATCTAAATACTTATAATATTACATAGATACGTATATAAAATATATAACATACATTTAGATATATACATATTGTATTATTATTCATATATATGGAGGACAAAATAAAAGAAAAGTAATTTATA